AGGCCCAATTAATATTCGACAAAGGAGGCAAGAGCATACAATGGAGTCAAGACAGTCTCTTCAATAAATAGTGTTGGGAAAATTGGACAGACACATGCAAAAGGATGAAACAAGACCACCAACTCACACCATACACAAAAATAAACTCAAAATGGATAAAAGACTTAAATGTAGGACAAGAAACCATAAAAATACTAGAGGAAAACAGAGGCAGTGAAATCACAAACATATCCTGAAGGAATTTCTTCTCTGATAATGCTCCTAGGGCAATGGAAACGAAAGAGAAATTAAACAAATGGGGCTACATTAAAACAAAAAGCTTTTGCACAGCAAAGGAAACCATCAACAAAACAACAAGAAGACCCACTGCATGGGAGAACATATTTGCCAATGATATCACCGATAACGGTTTAATCTCCAACATTTACAGGGAACTCATGAAACTTAACAATAGAAAGATAAACAATCCAATCAAAAAAATGGGCAATGGACCTAGATAGACACTTTTCGAAAGAGGACATACAGAAGGCTGAAAGACATATGAAAACATGCTCAAAGTCACTAATTATATGAGAGATGCAAATCAAAATGACAATGTGGTATCATCTCACACTTGTCAGAATGGCTATCATCAACAAATCAACAAGCAACAAGTTCTGGAGAGGATGCAGAGAAAAAGGAAACCCTTCTGCACTGCTGGTGGGAATGCAGACTGGTGCAGCCACTGTAGAAAACAGTATGGCATTTCCTCAAAAAACTAAAAATGGAACTCCCATTTGACCCAGTGATCCCACTTCTAGGAATATATCCCAAGAAACCAGAAACGCCAATCAGAAAGGATATATGCACCCCTATGTTCATAGCAGCACAATTCACCATAGCTAAGATTTGGAAACAGTCTAAGTGCTCATCAACAGATGAGTGGATTAGAAAACCGTGATACATCTACACAATGGAATACTACGCTGCGGTAAAAAAGAAGGAACTTTTGCCTTTTACAACAGCGTGGATGGAACTGGAGAGCATTATGCTAAGTGAAATAAGCAAGTCAGAGAAAGATAAATACCACATGATTTCACTCATTTGTGGAACATAGAGAACAACATAGACTGATGAACAGGGACAGACCTAAAGACGGAGAAACAGCGATCACGCTATCAATCCCCAGAGGGAAAGTATGGGAGGGAGGGAGCAAGGGGAAGAGATCAACCAAAGGACTTGTATGCATGCATATAAGCCAAACCAATGGACATGGACAACAGGGGATGAGAGCCTAAGTGGGGGCTGGGGGAGGATGGCGTTTAATGAGGGGGGGATGAGAACACATTTGTAATACCTTAACTAATAAAGAAATTTAAAAAAAAAATAAAAAAATAAACTAAAAAAAAAAAAGAGCCTGTGCTCGCTCACTGTGACAGAAGAGCGATTTCCAGACCTGGGCGGTTTCTCTTTCCTTTGAGCACCCCCTCCCCTGGCCCTTGCCCCCTGTGGACACAGCACCAGTGTGAGGCCT